ATGCAGAAAGAAATCAAGGCCAATGGAGAGAAAATATTTGGTTAATTTAAACAAATATTGTCTATACAAAACAATAATAATAATGTCTTGTGGAGTTTGAAATATCTAAAAAATTCAAGTAGCAGATGGTACCAGATGATAACAGCATATAACTCAGGAGGGGGTAAATGGAGTTTTAAGTGGCTTAAGGTTTTGCCTTGTCACAAAAGTGATGAGATTATTAATTTATATTAGACTTTAGAAAGTCAAGGATACATATTATCATGTTTAGAATGATCACTAAAAAAAAGAAAAAGTGGCAAATTAAACACTGGCATGAATTAATAAGAAACCAAATTATTCCAGAAAGTTAAAAATGGGGAAATAAACATGATATCTTTTAACATTTTAAAAAAGCAAGCCATAAAAGAAACCTAACAGCTAATAAAAATGTCCTTAAATTGGGTGGTTGGCACAAAGTATTCACTTCAACATGACTCATATACTTTACATATATCAAATAAATATTCTTTAGACTCCACAGTTAATAAAAAAATTAAAAAGCAAAGTGAACAGCAGAACATTAGGTACATATAATAGGATCTCATTTGTGTGCATAACCTAAATTTTTTTTAAATATTTATTTATTTAGTTAGTTACTTAGTTTTCGGTGGACACAACATCTTTGTTTGTATGTGGTGCTGAGGATCGAACCCAGGCCGCACGCATGCCAGGCGAGCGCGCTACCGCTTGAGCCACATCCCCAGCCCATAACCTAAATTTTTGTAGAAAAAAAAAATCAAGCCTATTTGCCAAAATGCAATCAGGATTTTTTCTCAAAGTTAGGGGGTGTGGAGGTGGGGGGGGGTGCAGAAAGGGAAGGGTGTGGAATTCTGGAGAAAAACTGTCCATTTCTGTTTTATGTCGTGTGTAAAACTTGAATACTTTGTTTACTGTGTTCGTATGACTTAATAATTGCAAATCACCAACAGTCCAAGATATGTTTCCATGTTGAAAAAATAATTTTAAAATAGACAAGGAAAGGCTGCTTCATAAAGGTGTCCCGAGCGACCCCATCTCCTGTTGTCGTGACACATCTCGACCACACGGTGGCGCTGCGGGGCGGGCCAGCTGCTCCGGGCTCCGGGCTCCGGGCTGAGCGGACCGTCGCTGCGGGGAGAGGGCGGCGTGTCTTCATGAGCAGATTTATTTCTTCAGCGTCCCGCCGACAGCCTTGCCAGGTGGCATCCGGAACGCTAGCTCGCAACAAGTCAATCGGGTGGCTCCGGAGCGTTTCAGGCCGCCCTGAGTTAACGGGCCTGGGGTCCCCATTGCTAGGTCTGGGTTGCGGGAGCAATCGTGGGGCCCTCACGACGCCTGCTCAGATGTGGTTGGGGCCATCTCCAGGGCTCTGGGTCCCTGGAGGAGTGCAGACCATGATGAGCCACCTCACCTGATAAGGGAGCTACAGAAGGGGAGGGGCGTCGTGGCTGAGATGAGCCCGGGGCCCTGTGGTCTCCGAGTGGGTGTTTCCCCTTCTGAATTCTCCTGCATGTGACCGGGGCGTGTCAGCTTCTGCTCTGGATTCTCCTTGACTGCTCTCATCCTCAGAAGGTTCAAGTTCCTAAGCTTGACTCCTGAAGCTCTTTAGGGCCACCTCCCAACACCCCATCCTCCGTCACCCCGAATCCTCTGGTTGCCTTCCACCATCAGGCTCTTTCTCATCTCTGAGCTTTCCCTGTGCTGTTCCCATTGACTCGGCAGCTCTTCCATGCCCCCTCCCACTTCTTCTTGCCTGGCAGGTGCTCCAAAATCCCGGTGCCAAGTATAAGCCTTGTGAGCGCGCATGCAATGGTGGGGACCCTTGCAGGAGGGATGCAGCTGGGCAGGAAGGAGCACAGTACAGCAGCCTGCCTAGAGGAACCCCGGGCCTCCCTGGGTTCCCGCCACCTGGCGAGATAAACCAAGATGAAAGAGGCTGCCAGGTACCCCCTGCCTGCCTCAGCCCACAGTGGGACCTCAAGCGAGCTGCCTTCAAGCAGCACCAGGAGAAAGGTGGGTGCATGGGTTGGCTCCACCCAACCTGGCCCGACCTCCACCCTGCACAGGCAGTGGACTCCCAGACCCCACTGTCAAGCCCGTAAGCCCAGCTGACCGTGGACATCTCCTCACAGCGCCCTCCTGCATCCTGAATTCATCCTTCCCCAGATTGCTTCTCCTTGTTGCCCACCTAGGAACTGGCTCTGCCATCCTGCAAGCCATGGCCCGCCCCATCCCTCTTCCCGCCACACACCCACCACCAAAGCCATCTGCTCTGCTGACCTCTCCAGGGTCTGGTGAGGATGCCACCCCCTCCCACCCCACCTCCTCTCTCCTGGGCCCCTTCCCCACTGTAATGCCAGACCATCTACTTCAGGTTCCCAAATAAGCAGTGGTGGCCGTCCCTGATGACTTGTCTAAGCTGTCCCCTCACCCAGGGCCTCCCCTTTTCACCCTGGAATCAGGTATGCACCCCTCAGGTTTCTGCTGAGACACCCCTCCTTTAGGCCTCCGCGGTGAGCTGGGCTTCCCTGTCTCCGCCCTGGCCACACTGTGTGGCCCTCGTGTGTGATCTGTTTATCTAGCAGCAAACCCAGTGGTCAGCGTGTAGTCCTCCCTCCGCGGCGGCTCAGCTTCTTGGCCCAGCTGGTCATGGCCTCCTTGCTGAAATCCCTCTTCCCCGGCTTCCAGGTCACAGTGCTCTACGCTGTCTTCCTGCTCCCTGGCTCCTTGATTCTCAATGCCAGTTCTCCCTCACCTCCCGCCCCTTAACATCAGTCTCCCATCCTCTCTCTCCCCTGGTGCTGACCTCCAGGCACATGGCCTGCAATTCCGTCTGCTGGCAGCCCTGGAATTCCAGTCTCCCCAGCATTAACCTGCTCCAGCGGCAGGATGGAGTCTCTCCCTGCCTCCCTACTTGCTGTCCAGTGGGCGGCTCCACCTTACCACGTGCAAATCAGGCTCACAATTCAAGCCCTCCCCACTTCCTCTCCGTAGACTCCATCCTCTTGGTCCATGAACCAAAACTGCAGTGTGGTTCTTCTCTCCCTTTTTTCCACCCCACATCCCACAGGAATCCATCGGGAAAGCCTGTGACTACCTTCAAAGTGTCCCCCCAGACTCCCATCCCTTCTCACTGCCTCTGCCTGGACAACCTGGTCCAATATCTCTTGTTGGGGGTCAAGGTGCAGCCTCCTCCTGACTGGTCTCCCTGAATCAACCCTGGTCCCCTGGAGTCTATTCCCAATTAAACAGTCAACCTTCTCCTCTGCCCCAGGACTCCTGCAGGCCCCCACCTCACGTGGAGTAATAGTCGAGCTCTTCTCTACCTACAAGACCCTCGGTAGCTGACACACTCTCCCTCATGCCCATGGTGACCTCTGGGCCTTTGCACTGACCGTTCCATCTGCCTTTGATACTTTTCTCTACATCTGCACAGCTCCCCCTCACATGCCCTCTGACCTCTGCCCAGAGAGGTCTCTCCTGCCAATCTACATACAAAGTGACTCCGCAGTACTTCCTGCCTTCCTTACTAGATGGCTCATGTCTGTCATATTTGTTTGTATGTTCAATATCTGCGTCCTCCACTCGACTGTAAGTCTGGAAGGACAGGGACTTTCTTATTCTATGATCACTGCTGTAGTCTCAGTGCCTACAGCAGTGTGTAATAGACCCTCGGTAAGTAATCACTAAATACTTGCACTTCCACCAGACGGCAGAGACTGGAACAGCAAGAGCGTGAATGGGCTCATGGATGTAGCCTGAGGACTCAAGTCGAAATCAGTGCTCAATAAAGACTTGCTGAAGACATGGATGGATGGTTGGATAAATGGACAAGGCACTGATTCTCCCCAAGGGTCTCCACCGGGTGGGTATCCTGCCTGAATCTGCAGGGGGAGGCAGGTCAGTCCACTCTGAAGACGCCTGAGCCCCGGAGTCATCCAGGACAGTCAGGCACGAAGGTTCCTGAGTCCGACAGGCCGGGTAGGACTTCCCCAGGCCCCAGGGGATTTGCAGTGCCTGTTCCTAGCAGCGCAGGAAACTGTTCCCATATGCCACATGGACCCTGATTTCAAGTTGTCCTGCCCTTTAATTCAACAATTATGCTTCAGAGACTCTTTCTGATAAAAAATAGACTAGCCCTGGCGTACAAAGATAGAGCTGTGCGCAGGTTGGGGGTGAGTCGTGACGGCTTCGTGTGTAATCACATAAAACAGGACCCAGCCTGGATGCCCAGCGATAGGCGACCGACTGGGTGCATGTGGCACAGCCTAGAGCCCGATGGACCACACAAAAAATCAGAGGGTGGATCCACGAGCCGAGAGGGAAGATACCGGTTAAGATGCTAAGTGAAAATCATGTCATTAAACACTCGTGCAGGATGAGCCACCGTTAGTGTAAATAATGAAGCCTCTGGATGGAGTTCACGTCCATGGGCATTAGAAAGGCCTGGATTCACCCTTATCCACCCAACCTCTGGCCTTGGTCACCCCAGGGTGGGCAGTTGGATTTGAAAAGAAATTTCCCCTGATTCATCTATTTACTTCTTCATTGACTTGACTTTAATGATAAGCTGATACTCTTCTGTAATTACATTTTAAAAGAAAATTTCCCAATGTATGTGAAAGACGTTGATCTAAACACACATTTTCCTAGCTTCTTAATGGCTAGCAATGGCGTGATTGGCAGACAGGTTAGAAGGAAGGCAAGTTGATGAATTAAGCGGTTCATCATCCCGGGCCGTAAGTAGGGCACCTGCTGCCAGCCCCTGACCATATCGCCCTGAAAACCTTACTCGAGGATTCCAGTGCCCCGGCACCATCTCCCATTATCCCGGCACATAACCAGCAGGGCTGTGCTCTGTTGCCTGTTCTTGCGACACCTGTGGGCTAAGAATGATTTTTACAGTTTTAAATGGTTAGGGGTGGGGGATCAAAAGAAGAATATTATTTGTGACACAAGAAGAAACTATGAAATTCCAATTTGGGCATCAACAAGTAAAGTTTTATTGGTACGCAGCTGTGCTCATTCCTTTGCGGGTTGTCTATGGCGCTTTCCACTAACCGTGTCTGAGTGCTTGCAACCGTGATGGCATGGCCCACAAAGCCTAAAGTGTCTACTCCCTGATCCTTTCCAGAAAGCTGGCCAACTCTACGGCCTCTCTGTTCTGAGCCACTGGGCCAGCTCTGTGGTCTGACCAGCTGGGCCTTTGCTCTCTTGAGTCCATCCACCCGAATGCTCTCTCTGCTGCCGCTGGAAAATTAGCCCTCCCCCAGGCGCGTGTCCCCCACCCCCGATCTGAGGGGACATGATTATGGGTTGTTCTCTGGCTCACTAGTTTCTGGGTCTCCTGCGCTTGGCACGGTCCCTGGCTAAAGTTTCCCAGATTGCATGGGCTGCTGCCATTGCCATGTCAGTTTCCAGGCTCCTTGAGGTTTTTCCGGACTCGCCAAACCTGAACACCAGCCAAGAAACTGCAGGGAGCAAGGAGGTCAGGTGAAGTGCAGAGAGCTGAGCTCATGTCGGGGGATCTGATGACTGCAGGGGCTTCCCCAGGGCAGAGTCACTCTGCCTGGCCACAGACGGCCAAGCCAGGGCCCGCCCAACCCCATGGTTTGTCTCCCGGAGGATTGCCTGGGAGGGAGGGAGTTCCCGGGGCCTGTCCCCGGAGGTAAGTGAGCAGAGTGGGGTCAAGGATGTCAGAGGACACTGATGAACTCTCCAGTTGCTCCCAACCCGGGACTCAGGACTCCAGGGCTTCTCTTGGGTGATGGCCAAGGCCAAGCTCTGGGGGCTTGACGAGGGGACAGGGAGCGCTGCTCTACCTGCTACTGAAGACACCCCCGCTCCACGCCTGCCTGTCTCACCCGTGCCCCGACCTCCTGACCGGACTCCTGCTGCAGGGACGCAGGGGGCTGGGGACACGGGTGTCTCCAGGGCTTCTGGGAACATAAGGCAGGACCATTGAACCTTGCAACAGGGACATCTCAGACTTGATGTTCCCCCCAGGGCATCATGGTTTGATGATTTGGGGGAACTTTGAGGACTCCAGACCACCATCCCCATCCTCCCAGCCCTGAAAATCTAAAAATCCCCTAATACCGGGCATTTCTTTCTAGCTCGCAACTTTCCGGAAAGGTTTGGGGTTGTTTAATGATAATTTGTGTGGCCAGAGAAGCCACGGGGCTTTGTGGTTGAGAGCTGGCCCTGGGATCAGCTTGTGTGGGGGTGGGGGCACTTACTGAAGGCTCCTGGCAGCACCACACACGTATTAGATTTCTCATCTGGCCCCCAAAGTAGGGTGTCTGGCGGCCCAGGTTTGGGACCCTTCTCCTACCACTTCCTCCCCCATGTAAGCGGGTCTGCCACTTCCTCCTCTGGTCTCCTCAGGACAACTGATTGGGATTCCCAGGGAGGACGCTGGACCTCGCAGGTCCCTACCCTCGCGTGCATGTGGGACTGGCTGGCCCCGCTCCTCTTTGCCTCCCTGGGGCTCCTGCCTCGTGTCACGCCCTGCAAACCTGGAGTGGCTCAGAACTCCTTGGAAGGTACCAACCCTGGGTTTTGAGGCCTTTGAAGGATCCACGGAAGCAGCGTTGACCTCTGCCAATGCAGGGGCTGGAGGAGGACAGTGGCTCCGAGGGGCCCAGGAGGTAAAGCAGGGTCTCAGGTGCGCAGACACCTCTTCTTGACGTCTCTTCTCACACGTCCTTTTCCACCGTGTACCTCTCCGCCGCCTGCACCCTGACATGCTCCTCGCCTCCTTGACTGCTGGGTGGGTGTCAGGGCTCCCATCTGTGAAATGGGGCTCCGCAAACCTCTGTGAAAGCTTGCTGAACAGGCCCATGACCTGCTGGCCCCTTTCTGGTCCTGGGGTCCCAGCCCTTCATGAGAAGGGACAATCTAGTGCAGCTGGGGAGCATTAAGATGCAGGGAGAGACAGATGGGGGTGTCTTCATGTGAGATGTCCTGAAGCCTTCAAAGCGCTCCTTGGGCGTGTGTGGGGATAACAATTACTAACCCTTAGTCATTCCATAAATATTTCCCTCATTAAGTGCTTTTGGGGGGTCCCCTGTGCTAAGTGCTGTGCTAGGTTCTGGGGATGCAGCTGCTTTCGGGAGAGCTGCCTGGAGGCCTCACTCCCAGCAGAGGACACCGGGAAACCCTGGGGTGAGGGCGTGCTGGTCATGGACAGTTCAAAAGAAAACAAGGAGGAACCAGGGCGTGGTGTGGTGGTGCCTGGTGGCCCAGGCCTTTAATCCCGGCAACTCAGGAGGCTGAGGCAGGAGGATCACATGTTCAAGGCCAGACTGAGCAAAATAGTGAGAGCGAGACCCTGTGTTAAAATAAAAAAATAAAAAGGGCAGGGAGTGGGGGCGTAGCTCAGTGGTAGAGCCCCCAGGTTCAATCCCAGTATCTAAGGGGAAACAAAGAAGGGAATCAAGGAGGCATGTGGCTGGTGGGAGGGAGGAAGAGGGAAGGGAAGTCGTGGGAGGAGATGGGATGGGGGCAGCTCACGCGGGCTTGCAGGCTACGCTGTGGCTTCCGGATTCAGAAGCACTGGGCACCTCCTCTGGCCCAGGTCCTAGTCTACGTTCTACCTGTCTCAGAGACCCCATTCTTCTCTCAGTCTTCTGGTGCCTCTCTGTATCCTCCAGTTACAGATGAGGAAACGAGGCACCAAGAAGGGGAACCATGTGCCCAGCAGGTAATTGGAAGCTGGGGATTTGGACCCAGGCAGGTCCTAAGCTCCAAATGGCTGAGCTCTTGCCGTGTCTTCCCTGGGAGAAACCCAACTCTTAGAGTCAAGCTAGGAGAGGTAGGGAATAATAATAAGAGAGGAGGTGGAGAGGGCAGGGAGGCAGCAGCCCACCTAGGACCCTCGAGGCTCACCAAGAGGCGTGGGGCAGGGGCCACCCTGAAGCACCTGTGTGACAGCCTGCAGAGTGGTGACGGTGCTGGCCCACATCAGCCTCTGCCCAGCTCAGAATGTGGGGAGCAGCAGGCGGCTGTGGGCTCCTCAGAGGCTCCATTTGGCATTGGACAGGAGGCTTTAGCTAGAAAATCAGAACCCAGAGCAGAAAATAGCTTGAAAGCACATGCAGCCCGGGTTGTTGGACACATGCAGTCGGGTCACGTGCCTGTCCTGCTGCCATGTGCGGGGACTCCTCTTCACCCCTCACAGTCCAACGTAGCTGGTCCTTCCTTTGTAAAAGCTTTCTTGACTCTGCTGAGCTGGGGGCTCCCGCTTCGCACCCTGGCTTTGCCTTCTGCTCGCTTTTAGATCTCTGGGTTTTGGTTCTTCCTTTATGTGCCTGGATCTTAGGCTTGGCCCTGCCCAGGACTTGGCTGGCCGTGTCCTTCCCAGAAGGGAGACGCTGAGCAAGCCAGCCAGCAGGTGCCTGCCTCCTGCATGCCCACTGCGGGGCTACTGTCCCCCCACCCGTGGCCATTGGTGACCACTTAGCTCCTTCAATTACATGGAGTGACAGGCCACTGCGGCTGGGATGGGAACGCAGCAGGACCGCATGCCCGGTTGTGCTGGGCATTTAGCAGACTCCCGTCTTGCTGCTGCCCTGAGCTCTGATGCCGCAGCCTCAGCTCTGAAGACCAGCCTATTGGTCGCTCCAGAAGCCTTGGGGCCATTCTGGGCACATTTCTTTTCCCTGCTTCTGTGTCTGCCTGGTCAGCTGTACTAGCTCTGCCCACGCGTCCAGAACCTGGGTGCTTTTCTCCACTCCTGGCCCCAGCCCCTGCTGGAGGTCCCCGCATCTTGCACCTCAAAGGGCTGGAGCAGTGCCCTACCTGGTCTCCCTGAGTCCACACTCCACACAGCAGCCAGGGGATCCCGCAGGTCACTCCCCTGCTTCTACCTGCAATGGCCCCCACCCTCCCTGGCCCACAGGCCCTCCCTGGAGCAGTCCCAGAATTTATCTCTTCTCTTGGGCCACTCTTCCACCCATCCCCCAGCCCCAGCCCCTCTGGCCATCACATGACCTCTGGCCTGCCAGCCTCACTCCGGTGGAGCCCTTGCAGTGGCTCCGCCCACCCCTGGAGGCTGGCCCCCTGGATTCACCTTGCCTGTCAAGTTACTGCTCAGAATTTACTCTCCTGGGCCCAGAATTAATTTTCTAAATAGCGCTCCTCTCCCTCCAGATAGAATATAAATCCATGTGAGAAGAGACGCTGGCCATCCCAGGTGCTAGGACAGGACTGGGCACAAAATCAGCACTTGTTAACTGTTGGTGAAATGAATACAAGATCCAGATGGGGCCTCTGAGTGCCTTTTGCAGCCACGCTGGGGATATACCAATGCAGGTGCTCTGTATTGACAAACCCAGCAAGTTTGTATTGACAGTTTAACCACACGGAGATCATTAGACAGGTGTGCACAGGGTGCAGTCAAGATACTCACGGCAGCGGGGCGAGGTGGTGCATACTGTAATCCCAGCGACGTGGGAGGCCGAGGCAGGAGGATGCCAAGTTTGAGGCCAGCTTTAGCAACTTAGCAAAACCCTGTTTCCAAATAAAAAAATAAAAAGGATTAAAGATATGTAACCCTGAGTTCAATCCCCAGTACAAAATATATGTGTGTGTGTATTATTTATATATATATCATTGAAGCATTGCTTATTGTCACCAAGAAAGGGCAGCAACCTAGGTGTCCATCAGGAGGGGATTGGCTCAATCCAGGTATGGCACAGCCAAAGGATGGAATGTTTTGTAGCCACTAAACAGGAGGAGAGGGGTCTGATTGTGCTGATGTGGTTTTCCCCAGTGGAGAGAAACTTGGAGCCCGGTGCCTGATGTGCAATATACATTCATTGTAAATGCATCCCTGGAGGGCGGGAGCTCTGTTTGCGTATCTAAACATATCTGAGTCATAAAAAGAGGGAAATGGGTGGGAGGATGCTGGGTTAATCCCACTGTTCTTGGTCTGGTGAAGAAGGTGAAGCCCAGGGAGGTCACGCCACCACTTGGAGGCACAGCCAGGATGGGGGCCCAGGTCTTCCTTCCCCAAGACCCACTTCCTGCCCTCAGCAGGTTCTGGGGACGCAGCTGAGTGAAGGGTGCAGCCTGAGCCTAACCCTGAGTCGTGAGTCCTTTAAGTCGAGTTGGAGCCTTGGCTTCCTTGTCTGTAAAATGGGCCTATGTTCTCCCGCCCCCGGCCCCGCCCTCACTAGGCTGTGGTGGGGGAAAAAGCTTGAGATCACAAAAGCTTATATAAGGATGAGCAGGACTGAGTGCTTCAGACACACCCAGCCAGCCACGCACAAAGCCCTTTGAGGCTCATGATCCCCTTTAATCTGCACAAGAACCCTCTGAGGTTGGGGCTGTGAGTGGCCCCATTCTAGCCGCTCACGAGGCTTTCGTAACTAACACCCGGTGTCACCCACTTTGGTGGCAGAGCTGAGATGTAAGCCCAGGGCTTCAGCCTCCTCCTCTCAGCTTCCATACTCTAGAAAGTTCTCCATGTGTCTATGTGGTTTCCAGAACTCCCAGGACCCGGGGGGCCCTGGAGAGCTGGAGCACACCGGACCTGATCCCACCCATGGAGAATCCCCAGGGCAGATTCCCCACTCCTAGGCTGCCTCCCACCTCACACGGCCTGTCCCCACAGCCCCTGATCAGGAGGGCCGGGGAGCCTGGAGCCTGCAGCCAGCCTGGGTCAGGCCGGGCCTCCCTGTAATTAAAGGAGCAGGAGGCTGGGAGCTGGAATCCATGTGGTCCAAGGTGGGGGAGGCGGGTTGGGGGGACAGGAGGAGCTTCCTTGTGGCCAGGCCAACCACGTCAGCAGCCACTGGTCCTCTGGGGGCAGCTGGGCAGCCATGGGTAGCTGGGAGGGACCCTGTGTGGACTCCCCTCCATGAGGTCTCGCCAGCCTCCTGCCCATCTCTGTCTCCGCCTCCCTGCTCGTGATGTCCCCCACCCACACCCAGCCATGTCTCCCAAAAGCAGGTCACTGGCGCTTGGCTCCTGTGTCCAGCCCTTCTGTGGGGGCAGAACGTTCTCTCCTGCTCTGAGCGCAGTGTGGACGGAAGGCTGGGGGGGCCGCTTGCAGGAACGTCCGGGCATCCACTGGAAAGGAGGTCATTCTCCACACAGAGGCCTTCTGGACAGCATGTGGCCCCTGGGACAAGCCCACAGCCCCAGGCTGGCGCTCCCTGCCTGCTCTTTAGCCCTGACGTTCTCCCAACCACTTAATGTCCCCTTCTGGCCTCCCTGCCTTTCTCCTGCCACCCCTTGGCCTGCACGCCTTCCCTCCCTGCTCAGCCTGTTCCCTCTCTGCCAGGTCAGACGCCTCCTCTCCCAGGCAGCCTTCCCTGATTGGGCTCAACTCTCTCCCCTGCAAGCCCTTGGGCCTTGTCTGTCTTCTGAGCGTGCTTGTGAGGCCCGGAGATGTGGCATGAATGACTGCATCGTGGTCCCCTCACCCCCAGCTCCAAGGCTGTGATTCTGCCCTGGATGTCAATCACTACTTATGGCCCTGGATGAGTCCGTCCTTCTCTCTAACCTGCATGGTCTTGTCCAAGCAATGACCACTGTCTACTAGAAGGGACCACTGTGAGGCTCACAAGAGGCAATGCCGGTGACCTCTCCAACCCGGGTCACCTCTGGTGGGTGCTCCACAAACGGTACCCAGTGCTTCCATGGCTCTTCTTGTCGAGGCCACAGCCTCCCCAGTCCAGCTCTGTCCTGCCACCTGCCTCTTTTACGTGGCTCTCAGGGATGCCTGCCCAAGGAAACAGGGATCCGGCCACTCCCATGGACCAAGACCGTCCCCACAGCCCTGCCCCACCTGCCCGGCCTTGTTCCTCAGCCCTGGCCCTCTCCACCCCTGTCCCCTCTGCTCCAACCACCTAGAGATGACCTGGGGCCCTCAGCACCACCCCTTTTAAACACTGCACAGGTGACTGCTCCTCTTCCTTCCCTGGCTGGCTGCTACCCACCTGTGGGGACCCCACTTAGGTCCCCCTTCCTCCAGGGAGCCTGGCTTGACCTCACACCCCAGCCAGGCGAGACCCCTGCTCTGTGCCCCGGTGAGGCCTGCAGCGAACTGTCCCCTGCGAGCTGTTTTCCCTGCAGGGGGCCAGACGCTGCGCCTGGCTCCCCTGCAGACCCAGCCCAGTGTCTGGCGAGGACTAGATGCTCAAAAAATATTTAGTGACTAACTGAATGGATGGCTGAGTCAATGGCTGCATCCCCCACACTGCAGGAAATGTCTGGGAACAGATTTGAGTGGGAGGTTCCAGCAGGGGCCTGGGAGAAGCCCCTGGGGTTTGGGTGCTGGGTGGCCGGCAGAGTGGACCCCCACCCTCTCCCAGAGCGGGTCAGCCTCCCCGTCTTCCCACAGGGCCCCGGGGCCCCGGAGCCGGCTTCCAGATGTTGAGCCCCGTGTCTGCCTCACCTCTGAGCCTTTCCATCTGCACAGCCGGGCCAGATCCCCGCAGCCAGCGTCGCGGGCAGCCAGGCCAGCCGTCCCCGGCGTCTTCCTATTTTAGACATCTCGCCGCCTCAGTCCCTTCTAATGTTTCCAGCCAGGCTGCGGGGGGAGGAGAAAGAGGTTACTGCTACTTTAAATGTGCTGTATGAAGGCGAGGGCTGGAGAGGGGCCTGCTGCAGGAACACCCCGTCATCCCGCCGGAGAAGCCGCCAGATGGAATACAAAAGGCGAAGCCCGGGCGCCCATGGAGACGGCCCCGGGGCATAAACCAGGGGGGGCCAGGGGCTGGGGGCGCGCTCGCCATGGAGCCCGACGCCCTCCTGGATCAAGACGGCTCCTACGGTAGGTGACACTGGCCGGCTAAGTGGCAGAGTTGGGGACCTCAGCCTGGCTGCTCAGGGGGACTTTTCTCCGCTTCAGGAATCTGAGTTGAAGGGGGGAGGCGATCGGGCAGCTGGCACTGCCTGAGCCGGGGACTCTGGGTGGGCATGGTGCCCTGGGTCACGGGGCACAGTGCCCAAGGGGGGGTCTCTGGGCAGCGAGTGGCAGGGGGCCGGGGAAGGAGAGCTCCTGGGCCGCCAGGCTCTGCTCCTGGCTGAGGAGGTGAGGGAGGAAGTTTGCAGCCCCCTGCGGCCGCCTCTGCCCGCCTGGCTGCGGTCCCGCGGTCCCCGGCCCCCGGCTGCGCTGCGTGGCAGATCCAATTAGTGAGATCCTGCGGGTCAATGGAGACGGAGCAGGCGACGGGTGCACCCTGTCATTAAAGGCCAGGGCTCAGGCTGAGAGTGCTCCCCAGGCTGCCACTGGGGAGCTGGCCCTGCCCAGCCTTCGGGCCACCAGCAGCCCTGGGCAGAGAACTGGGGGAAAGTTGCCTGGGACAGGCCGGCTAGGGGTCGGAGGAACGGATCTGCAAGCCGCAGGTTTCCGCGGAGGCAGTTTCTGGAGGCTGAGAGCCCCCGGGAGGGAGCTGCCCAAGCTGTCTGGACCGTTCAGTTGGCCCCGCTGCTGCCAGGATGCTGAGCACACTGTGTCTGTCTCTGGGCAACGGAGGGAGGCGGGAGGGCAGGAGTGTGGTGAGGGACCAAGGCAGCAGGTTTGGGGCTCACTGGGGAGAAGGCCCCATGAGGAGGGGCAGTGGAGGGGCAGTCTCCCCCAGCTCGGGTCAGCCTCTCAGGAAATCAGGGGCCTCGGTCTCCTCTACGAAAACTGGGCTCTTTTCCCTCTGGACCGACTCCCTACTCCAGCCAGCCCCGGTTGCCTGGCACAGAGTCAAGCCACATTCCCTGCCCCCTGCAGCAGCCCAGCTCCCTCCAGGGAGAAGTCCTCTGCCACGGGTGGACCTACGACCCCTGAGGGGGCTTGGCCAGGACTGGGCGAGCACCTAGCTTTTCCAGGCAGTCAGGTGGCCGGTGGGTGCACCTCGAGTGACCTCCAGGTGCCAACCTGTGTCCGGGTCAGAGGTGCAGGAAGAGGAGCTCAGTCCTCAGAACTAGCTTAGTGGTTGGAGGCAGGGACGGAGGAAGGGAAGGGAGAGGAGGAAGGAGGAGAGAGGGCTCTGGCCCTGGAAGCGCTCCCAGCCTGGATTGGGAGACAACCAAGGATGGATTCCGGATCCCGAGGGATGAGATCCTGGGGAAGGCTGGGGGCAGAGAGTCTGGGGGTGGGGACAGGCCTGCCTACACCCAGAGCTGTCCACTTGAAGCTTGGCACAGGGATGCTGTCCCATCGAGGATCCAGCACTGGGGGCTACAGGGGGATCAATCCATAACCAGGCAGATTTCCAGATTCCTCGAATCTCCATCTCCCCGTCCAGTGGTGTTCCGGAAATCCACAGCCCAAACTTGCTGTGCTCCAGTTCTGCTAGGGGCACGGTGGGGCAGGATGAGCCTGGAAACTGGGGCTGCTCCACCTTAACCCAAGAGCCCTGTGCACAGTCAGCCCTTATTTTGTCACAGGAGCTGCTATGGCTCTCCTGGACGCTGGTCAGGGAGTGAGGTGTCTGGGATAGGGAGGAGAAGAGGAGGACTCGGATGAGGGCAGGCGGCGGGGCACAGGGACCCGGCTCTTCTGTGGAGAGAGGTCTGGTCTCTCCCCGCAGGCCCTGGTTCTCAAGTTGAAGGGACTATCGTGGGCCAGGGCGACACAGGATGCAAGTCACCCCCGTCTCTGAGCCCTGGTTCTGCATTCATTCATTCAACACTTTCAGGACCTGGACTGGACTCTCGGGTCCAAGAATAGGCACTGGCCAGGGTCCAAGAACAAGGCAGACCTCATGTCCGCCTTTGTGACATTCCCCAGTCAGCCTGGGAAGGAGGCAGATGCCCCGATGGGGGGAAGTCATGGCACTGAGGAACCTCTGAGTCCACACTTGGAGTCCAGGAAAGCTGTCGTTAGTCGCTGATTCCCTCTGTCAGCTCATGAGAAACCATCATAGATTGAGGGTTTAAACAACAGAGATGTGAGAAGCCAAAATCATGTCCCCACAGTTCTGGAGGCTTGAAGTCCAACATCCATATTCCAGCCAAAATGTCCACCTTTCCGCTAAGTTTTTTTGCTCTTCCCTGGGCCTGCGTGTGTGGAGAGGGAAAGCAACTGCTCGGTGTCCTCCCGTAAGCACATGGTCCTATTGGCTCAGGAACCACCTCTCTGTACCTTCACTGAGGCCCTCAGAGGCCTCATCTCCAATAGCCTCTCCCTCTGGCCGTGCCATCCAGATCCGCCTGCTGCCTCCCTGCACCGTCCGACACCCCCTCCTTCACCTCCTCCCTCTCTAGGTCCCAGCCACACAGATCTGAGCCTTTTTATACTCTTCAAACCAGTTTCTACCCCAGGGACTTTGCACAGGCTATCTTTTTCCACCTGGATAGAGTATTCTTCCTCTCACTCTTCACTGAACGAACTCTTCTTCTTTATCCCAACATCAAGTGGAAATCCAACTCCTCAGAGAAGCCTTCCCTAGGCCATATTCCCCCTGCCCCCATCCATGAAATCAGGCTCCCCTCCCTTAGTCCTCCTTGTCCTCCGTAGGAACCGTTCTTGTTGGCACTGCACATTACTCTGTCTTTAACCTGCGTGGCCACCATTCACCTCTGAACTCTCACTGTGCCCGGGGCATAGCTCTCTGACTGCCATGTGGTAAGCGTCCAATAAGTGCTGGTTGAATGAGGGAGGGGGTGAATGAAGGCAGTCAGCCCAGGTTTAGAGAAAACATTCCAGGCAGAAGGAACAGAAGCTGCCAAGGCATGGAGCGGGGAGAGCCTTTGGGGGGCGCTCTGGTACTCACCACTGGGGCGATGCTCTTGGTCAGGCACTGGCCGGCTAAACTCCCTGAGGGCTCAGGGGTCTTGTGGGGACAAAGCTGGGTGTGGCGGAGCTGTAAATGGGGTGAGGCTCTGTTGGTCCTCCTTTCGATGGCCAAGGAAGGGGACAAGAGGGAGCCTGACGGGGGCCCAGTGTCTCGCCTGCAAGACTTCCTCTTTGGGCCCTCGTGGGTCCCACCATTTCCCCCCCTGCACCCACGGCACCTCCCGCCCCCTGCCGGAGCGCTTGGTGTCCCCGGGTCAGGATGGGTTGGTATGCCCTGGCCATGCTCCAGGGCAGAGCCCTGCCTGGTTTGCTGCTGTGTTCTCAGGGCCTCACACCCCCTGACCTGAGCAGGGCCCACGACACACTCGCTGGATAAGTGAGCGAGTGAGCGAGTGAGCGAGTGAGCGAGGAAATGAGGAACGAGCCAGCGGTGAGCGAATTAGAAATGAGGACTGAGTGGAGGGAATGAAGGAACAGTGAGCGAGGGAATGGCTGAGGAGTGAGTGAGCGAGCCGGCACCAGCTGCACCCGCCCTTGGCCTGCTCTTCGTCCCCAGGCATCCTCTCCATCTCGGGGCTTCTGTTGAGGGTGCTGGGCTCCAAGCCCCAGGTATTCCAGCTCTGATCATCAAGACTAGATCTGGCTCAGCCCCGGCACCCTCTTCCCTTCTTGGGGCCTGAGCCTCACGCCAGCTCCCTTTGGCTGGGGTGGCCTGGAGACATCCCCATTCCTCGCTCAGGCTCAGTTTCCTTGTATGACAAACGGGCAGACCCAGCCGCGCCCCGCCTGGTGCTTCAGAGGAGACAGAGGCGCCTGCGAGGCCTGTTGGGGGATCTGTGATTCATGGAGGAGCCACCGGGGTGCAGACAGGTGGCTGGGTGCTTTGGAAATCCTGGGGTGGACGAGGTCACTCAGAAGTTCAGAACCTTCAGATTTCTTCCTGACAACAACCCAGGAAGGACATCAGCCCTAGGGTCACGGGAGGCCCCGGTGGGGAGGCAGATGGATGTGGCTTGTAAACTTCCAAGTGCTGCAGGTGTAAGAACCAGGGCTGCTTATGGAGCACCGGCTCCGTGCCAGGTTCCAGGAAAGGCCTTTGATGCGCACCCTCTATTTGAGCCCTCATCACCTGGCAGGTTGTTGCTAGCCCATTTTCCAGATGAAGAAGCTGAGGCTCGGGGCAGTTGAGTGTCCCAGAGCAGAGTTCAGGGCGGTGGGATCTGAACCCAGGCCACTCCAGCGACGATGCCTGAAGGGGCCTGGGGTCCTGTATGGCTGCCTGTCTGAGCACTGTGGCTGTACCAGAGCTGCCACCGGGGGCCCTTCCATTTGCTCATGAGAAAATGCCTCCCAGGGAGAGTTTGCTGAACCAGTGAAGGGCACGGCGTGACAGGGACCGTGCTGGCTCTGCTGGGGACAGCAGGAGGCAGAGGCAGCTGTGATGGAGTGGAGTCAGTCTAAAGAAAGGGCTATTTTAGGCTGGAAGCTGTGGAGGCCTGATGTCACCACTCCCTGGCCCTTCCCGCAGCGAGGGAGGCTAAAATGCCTTCAAGGGATTGGCCTCAACGGGTAGCAAATATCTTAAAAATCACCGCTGCAGAGCTGGGGGTGTGGCTCATCCGTCCTCTCATTTCCCCTCCCCACCAACCTGATGAGGTATCATTCATGAGGGCACTGAAGCTCAGAGAGGCTGAGTGACTTGACTGAAGTCACACAGCTAGTGAAGCCAAGAATCACATAGGTCTGTCCCACTAAGAAGCCTGTTCTCTGAACCAGTGCCTCCTAGGCCCTTCCC